GAGAGGGAGAGAGAAACATCAATGAGAGAGAATATCTATTGGCCACCTCCTGCATGCCCCCCTACTGAGGACTGACCCACAACCTGGGCATGTGCCCTGACCAGGAATTGAACCAGCGACCTCTTGGTGCATGGGTCGATGCTCAACCACTGAGCCACACCGACCAGGCTACATATTTGTCTTTTCTTATTTTAATTTATTTGAGAGAGAGGGAGACATCAATTTGTTGTTCGACTTATTTATGCATTCATTGGTTGATTGTTTCGTTGTTAATCCTCACCAGAAGATATTTTTCCATTGATTTTTTTTTTTAATCTTCACTCAAGGACATTTTTTTTTTTTTTTTTTGCATTTATCTTCAGATAGAGTGGAGGGAAAGAGGGGGGAAGAGAGAGAAACATCGACTGGTTGCCACCCACAGGACCCCAACCAGGGCGGGGACAAACCACAACCAAGGTATGCATCCTTAGCGAGAACCAAACCTGGGACTCTCTGGTCCACAGACCGACGCTCTAACCGCTGAGCCAAACCAACCAGGGCTCCATTGATTTTTAGATAGAATGGAAGGGAAGGAGAGGGAGAGAGAGAAACATCGATGTGATAGACACACATTGATTGACTGGTTGCCTCCTGCATGACTCCTACTGGGCCTGGGGATCAAACCTGCAACTTAGGTACATGCCCTTGACCAGGAATGGAGCTCAAGACCCCTTGGTCATCAGGCCAATGCTCTAGCCACTGAGCCAAACCAGCCAGAGACATTGGTTGATTCATTTTAATTTTTTTTTAGTGAGAGAGGAAGGGAGAGGGAGAATGAAAAACATTTAAAAGAAAAGACAGAGAAATATTAATGTGAGTGCAGAACTACTATTAGCTGCCTCCTACATGCCTTCTACCAGGGACTGAGCCTGCAACCAGGCATGTGCCCTGACTGGGAATTGAACCAGCAACCTTTTGGTGCATGGGACAATGCTCAACCAACTAAGCCACACCAGGCAGGGCGTTTGGTTGATTCTTGTATGTGCCCTGACCAGAGATTGAACCCACGACCTTGGCATATTGGGATGATGCTGAGTTACCAGTCCAGGGCCTGCACATTTGTCATTAGTGAGTTTGTTTGGTGTTACTTGGGATACACACAGAGGATGGTCTGCTATAACACACATTTTTCTAAAAGCAGGCCCTCTCCAATCAAGCTCATGACTGGAGTGGGAGTTGCCACGTTTGTATGATGTGATCAACTCTTGGCCATGGTTTAATGAACAAGAACCGGACACCTGACCCAAACCAAATGAACGTGCACATTTCTTCAGGAATTTGGGCATGAGTCTGACAGAAGAAACGCTGTCTGTCTCTTCAGGGGGCTGAGCTACAGCTTATACACATGGTAATTGGACAACTGATATGCAAGGAGGGGAAGGGCCAGATAGAGGTGAGAGAAAGAAGGGGCCCCAGAGCCCTGGGTCCAAGTGTTTCTCGAAGTTCCTACCCTTCCAGCCAGGATCATCCCCATACATTCCCACTCTTTGGATCTGAACAGCCAGAGTAGGTTTCTGCCTCATGCATCCAGCAGAGATCAACCTAAGTATCCCGAAGGAACTGCCCAAGGGGCCCATGCCCAGCCCCCTTTCCAGCATGGGAGGCCCTGAGCCCAGAGAGCCCATCTTCCCTGCTCAAGTGGATATCACTGCCCAACTGTAGCACTGGGCAGGGCCAGGGAACAAAAGATGCTTGCCTGAACTTGAACTTGCAGCCCAGGACTGGGGCTTGATCTGACCCATAGGATAAGGACAAAATGATGTGAGGGTCAGAGAACAGAGGAACATCTGCTGAGCCTCTAATTGTTGACGTTCTCAGGGGTTCCTCATCTCTTCCTGCTTCTCTCAGTGAAGACAGGAATCAGGGAAATTCATGAGAGTCTGAGTCCTGTCTGAGTTCCCATCCAGGGCGCTGAGCAAAGCATGGAATTAGTGTGCACGGAAGGAAAGGGGAGAGGAAGATAGAAAAGGTAGCCCTAGCCGGGTTTCTCAGTGGTTAGAGCCTCAGCGCACGGACCAAAGGGTCACAAGTTTGATTCTCAGTCAAGGGCACATACCTGGGTTGCAGGTTCGATCCCTGGCCCTGGTCGGGGTCATGCAGGAGGCAACCAGTTGATGTTTCTCTCTCACACCAATGTTTCTTTCTCTCTCTCTCTCCCTCCCTCCCTTCCACTCTCTCCAAAAAAAAAAAAAAAAAAATCAATAGAAAAATATCCTCTGGTGAGGATTAACAACAAAAAAAGACTGAGCCCAGGCCTGCGGTCCAGAGAGACCTGGGTTCGGTTCCCGCAAAGGGCACGTACCTCGGTTGCAGTTTATCCCCTGCAACTGAGGCAGGTTGGGTTGGCCCTGGTTGGGTTGTGCGGGTGGCAACCACTTGATGTGTCACTTTCACGTCGATGTTTCTCTCTCCCACTCTCCCTCCCACTCTATCTGAACAAAATATGGAAAAATGTCCTCAGGTGAGGTTTAAAAAAGAAAAAAAAAAAAAAAGACTGAGCCCCAGCCAGTGTGGCTCACTGGTTGAGTGTCAACCCATGCACCAATAGGCCACGGGTTCAATTCCTGGTCAGGGCATATGCCCAGGTTGTGGGCCAAATCCCCAGTGGAGGGCATGCAGGAGGCGGCCAATCGATGTTCTCTTCATCAGCGTTTCTATCTCTCTCTCCCTTCCTCTCTAAATCAATAAAGAAAAAAAAAAATGAAGGGAGTTGGGGGGAAATGACGTGAATGACTTTAAGTGACAGTGGGGTGGGAGTGACAAGCCAGCAACTGAGAAAACAATGTGGCCTGAGTCTGGCATTTGGGAAACCAGCATCAGTGCTATGTGTCTAACCTCCAGGTCCTCCAGAGGTAACCCAAAAGATAAAACTAGCATATGCAACATGCAAGCCTGCTGAATTTTACCAAGTTATCACTGTAACAGGAGTAGTCAGCAGAGAGAAACACTCTCAAATTAGCACTGGCTATTTAAAGCCATTTAAAGATTTTCTTTGCTTTCTGTAAATACAAAGATGAATGAGCCCAGATATCCACTGCATTATAGCAACATCTCAGGAATAACCTGCGTGACTCACAACAGCATAGGGGGTCGTTCACTTATTCATTCAACAAATACAGCATACAATGCTTTCAATATGTGCATCTGCTCCCTGAGAAGATGAAGACATGGAAGAGGGCCTGCTAGGTCATACCTCAAGCAGCAGCCTTTTTGTGGTTGGCAGCCCTCTCCTTTGGCTGATGTTTTATATATAGTTTTGAAAGGATGACAGTAAAATACCCTCACCCATCGAAGGGGGAGTTGAGTTGGAAGGGCCTACTAATCAGCTTCCAAGGCTAAGGTTTAAGAAAACTCTAACTAGGGTTCACATATAAAAAAATTATCCTTCCTTTTAGAAAACCTGGCATTTTCTAGGGGAATTTTAGAGATTAATGTGAAAGGGGATAACCTAGCCCTCTGCCAGTTGCCACTGAGCCCAAGTGCCACTTCAGGGCCTGATGTCACACCCTGTGCACCTGGCCGTCCTCGCCAGCCTGTACCTGGGGCTCACCAGCCTCACCACCCACCAAGTGATGCCTACTGGATATGCCTGTGACCCATGAGCTCCCATTGGTCATCCCATGTCTGCAGGATGTCAGCCTGTGCTAGTAACTTAAGTCAGAGGCTGATTTCTCATAACTAAACTGACTACCACATTCTGGCAATGATGGAGTATGGAGACAGACCCTACAGTGTATAACTGTGATGATTAATTTTATGTGTCGACTGGACTAAGGGATGCCCAGATAGCTGGATGTCTCTGGAAGAGATTAGCACAGTAAACTAAATGAAGATCCACCCTCACCAATGTGGGTGGCATCATCTAATCCAATCCACTGATGGCAGAATTCCCTCTCTCTCTTCTGCCGCCATCAGAACTGGTTTGAATTACACCAGTGGCTCTCCTGGGTCTCCAGCTTACAGGTCATGGGACTTCACAGCCTCTTGTTTAATCCCTCTAATAAATCCCATATATATCTGTATAGATCCTATTTCTCTGGAGAACACTGACTAATACAGTAATAAAAGGCTTACCCCTGGAACCCGTACTTCAAGAGCAGCAGAGCCTGGTCATTGATTGTGGGACACCCACCCTGACTTAGGCCATGCCCTGGGGCTTCCTCCTGGGAAGGACAGCAGGCTCAAGTTCTCTGGCATATGGGAGGATCTCAGGACTGCTTCTTTCTCCCACTGCCTGGGTCTCCCCAGTAACTGCTTTCACTCTGTCTCATCCCCGCAGCTGAATCATAAGGACCCATTCTGCCTTGCTTATGAACCTGATGCCACCAAATTCTGGTCTCCCCAACAAGAAGGACCTTATTTTTTTTTTAAAATGATGGTGGCAGCCCGGCTGGTGGGGCTGTGGTTGAGCATCAACCCATGCACCAAGAGGTCACCGGTTCAATTCCCGGTCAGGGCACATGCCCAGGTTGTGGGCCCAATCCCCAGTGGGGGGCATGCAGGAGGTGGTGCAATCGATGTCCTCTGTCATCGATGTTTCTATCTCTCTCTCCCTCTCCCTTCCTTCTCTTTAAAATCAATAAAGAAAAACAATTTTTAAATAAATAAATAAATGGTGGTGGTGGCAGTGGAGGAGCAGCTTTAAATAGCAAAAGGTGTTCCCTCTGCCAGGTGGCCTCCCAGCTGGGATGGTCCTGGGGTTTCCCCACCACTCCCTTGCACCTGTGGGGGTGAGGTGGTCTCTTTTCATAAAATGAAGGGACTTGAACAAGGTACAAGTGAGGGAGATCCTCTGGGGCAGAGGGTTCACATTCAATACTCTAATGGCAGCGGGAACTAACCAAGAGCAAACGGACTTTGCAGGGTCTTCAAGCATTAGGTAGGAAGCATTTTCTAAACTCTTCACAGGAAAAAGACAGGAAGAAAACAAATCCCCTACCTCTAAACAACCAGGTCACCAGTGATTCTTTCCAAGTATTTTCTTTTTCCTTCTAAAAATTTTTGTGAAGTCCAATGAATAGATGTTTTTACAGTAAAACAATTATTCTTTAAGGAAATGCATTTTCTGGCAAAGCTCTAGGATCTGTGTTTATACAAATGGGTGGCACGAACAAGGATGGGTGGAACCGTGTGTGCCTAGCCAGAGGGCTGACCTACATCTTTGAGGACATCAAACATTGGGGCATCCACTGGACACAGGCAGGAGGCCAGCCCAGGCTGGGACTAGGCAGGTAAGGATAGCCCCTAACCTTAGGACAGGAGGTGAAGGCCATACCCCAGTAACTGGTCCACATCCCCACTCGCAAAGGAGTTCTGGAATGCCAACCACCCCCTGGCAGACATCTGTGTGGTGTGGACAGGTCAGCAGGCTGGCCTCACTGCTTGGTCACCCTCACCCATGCACAGGAGATGGGACCATGGGAGGGGAAGCTGGATACAACACAGTTCCCAGAGGAGGGGTCAGTTTCTCTTCAGCTGCTCTGCTGGGGTGGTTGGTGTTCTCAGCTGTGTGAGAAGCAGGTCTCAGGAATCCAAGAGTGGGTTGCAAACCAGCCTCCCCTTCAGAATAACTTCTTTGCCTCAGCTGTCCAGCTCCTGTCAGAAATGCCAACAAACACCAAGTTCATAGAGATCTGAAGGGCACCAGGGCCATATCTGCCACCTAGGCAGCATCCACAAGTGGCTGGGAGAGGACATTGGGTAGCCAAGTCTTGTGTACTCCCTGGGAGGCAGACAGCAGCAGTCCCCTTCTGCCCTCCTCCAGAGCTCCCCTAGATGAGTGCTTCTCACTGCAGCGACTGGTTTACCAGCCCGGGCTGCCCCCACACCCCACCTCCAGCTGCCTGGTCACCCACAGGCACTCAGAACATGTCTGATGGCAACCAAACTACAGAGGGCCTCAGAAGAGGGGCTTTTAAATATCACCTGTGCCAACAAACCCGTCTCCAGGGAGGACAGTGCGGGCTGGGGGGCCTCACTGCAGAAGCACATTCCAAGCCTGGCTTCACAGTGTACTGAACTGTGGACTTCTGGGCTATCCCTTCACCATACCCACCCCCTCAGATGAGACAGGAAACAGCCAGAAATCCTAGAACATTCCACCACCACCCTGTGCTGGGGACCCAGGGAGGTACAGAGGGCAGAGGAGTTCAGACGCAAGAGCAGGGCCTCACCCTTCCTCAGAGGAAGCTGCTGCTCAGACAACCAGGATGAGTGAACCTCATGGGCCAGCCACACCACTGGGATGGTGGGGCATGGGGAAGGGAAGGCAGAGAGCAATGGCACCCTCCTGTGCGTTCAGACAAACCTCAGGCCTTCAGAGAGGGTCACCCAGGGGAGCTCCCAAAGAGAGAGGGTTCCTGTCTTCCAGGCAAGCCAGGCCCACTCTGGTTTACTGGGGGCCCTGAGATCGGGGATATAGCTCCATTGGCCTGGGCCCCCTCCCAGCACCACCCCTCCCCAGCTTTGTACTACATATGGCCTGGTCTGCTGGGGTAGTAGAAGCCCAAATGTGCCTAAGAACACGCCTAGAAATATGCCCAAGGAATGGAGGGAAAACACATTAGGGCCCAGATAGTGACCAAAAGCTCACCGGGTAGGAGTTTTGGGAAAGGGGCCATGGACACAAGTGACCCCCCCCCCAGAAGGTAGGAGAGGCACCTCACCTAGAGCTTAGCAGATGCAAAATCCGACAGCAACTTGATGTCATTAGGGTACGTCAGCCATGTCCCACCGTCAACCACCAGCAAGGCCCCTGTCACGTAGGATGCCAAAGGGCTGGCCAGGTAGAGTACACTGTGGGCGATCTCCGTCTTGTTCCCCAGCCTCTGCAGGGGGCTGACAAGGACCTTGCTGGCCCGGAGACCACCTGGAAGGTCAACGCCTGTGAGCCCCAGGATCCCAAAGCCCTCCACACTCCCCTGACCAGCTTTCCCTAAACCACATCCGAGAATGTTGAGGGCACTGTTAACATCATCCAGGTGAAGCAGGAACAGGCCAGGTCCCAAGTAACACTGCCAAAGAACCAACATAGGGCTTTTTTTTTTTTTTATCCTCACCCGAGGATATTTTTCCATTTTTTGTACAGATAGAGTGGGAGGGAAAGAGAGGAAGGGAGAGAGAGAGAGAGAAACATTGACGTGAAGGGACACATCGAGTGGCTGCCACCCGCACGACCAACCAGGGCCGGGGACAAACTGCAACCGAAGTACGTGCCCTTAGCGGGAACCGAACCCGGGTCTCTCCGGACCGCAGGCCGACGCTCTAACCGCTGAGCCAAACTGGCCAGGGCCAACATAGGGCTTTTTGATGTACACCCTGCCAAGGTTCTGGAAGCTTCAATGGAAGCCCCACTTTGTTTCTGACTCACACATCAAAGCTAGTAGCCCTGTGGCCTCTACCTCAAGGGAGCAGCTGCCCAAGTCTGGTTGACCCTTAGTCCAGTGCAGCTGTGTGCTAACCACAAATGGCTCCAATCTGATTTCAGAACAAACTCTGCCAGCCCCAGGGAGCATGAAGACTCGGCACTTGTCCCAGGCTTGTCCCAGGCTTGTCCCAGGCTTTTCCCAACTGGATGGGAGAGGAGCCTATGGAGGTGCTGTGGAGTCTGTACCTAGGGGAGCATCCAAGGGGCCTGGGCTTCCTGAGAGCCTTACCTAATCGCCGGAACCCCTCCGTGCCACTGATAGGACCAGGGGCAAGGCTGTTGACTCGAATGTTCTGGGGACCCCACTCCACAGCCAAGTGCCGGGTCATTGCATCTGCATGGAAGGCAGGCAGGTATGAGGGAGAATGCAGGGCTTCTCTGCCTTCTGGGGTTGCCTGGGTTGAAGTGGGGACTCAGGGCCAGGGCTAGCCCTCTCGACTACCCACTCAGACACTGCTGGCTTCCAGGGACAGGCAGGAGAGGGACCCTAAGGAACTCAGGAGAGCAGACCAGATGAGGTGCCATACCCACAGCCGCTTTGGCAGAGCCTGCGTGCATTTGGAGCACCTGTCCCCGGGTACCCAGGGTTGCAGTGATGTTCACGATTACTCCTCCATGATCCTACAACATATGGCAGGGACGGAGGGATGGTGTTGTCAGTGAGCAGATTGCCAGAAAAGGGGAGGCCCCAGCCAGAGAACACTCACCCGGAAGAACTTCTCATAGAGCACGTGAGACACATTGAATGTGCCCAAGGTATCGATGTCCATCACAGCCTTGAAGGCATTGAAGGACAATGTGCTGGCCGGGCACAGGAAGTTTCCAGCAGCACCTGCGAGATGGAAGAAGATATGGATGTTGTTGGAGCCCTGGGCAGTTAGAGCACATTGACTCAGGATGGTCCAAGCTGGACAGGGAAGGAGGCCTGAGAGTGCCTCTGACTCTAATTCAGCCAAGTTCATACTGCAGTGACTTTGAAGGAACAGAGTTGGGCCAAGACAGTGGCCTGGAGCCTGGGATAGAAGTTCTGGGACCTCTAAGAAGGAAGATCTGGTATTGCTGACTCATCAGAAAACCTCTGGCCTAGGTCAACAGTGACTCACAGTTTATGAGAATGTCGATTTTCCCAAACTCCTTCAGTGCCTGGTCCACGGCAGCCTTGATGGCTGGGGGAGCTCGGACATCCATAGATAAAGGGAGGCACCGCTGGCCAGTGGCAGCAGCCAGCTTTCTGGCAGCCTAGAAGCGAGACAGAAGAGAGAGAAGAGGTGGGCAGAGGCTGAGTGGCCTCGGCCTAGAGGGACCAGCCCATCAGAATCTGAGGAGGATGTGTCCAGGTTCTGCTGAGAAGCCAGGGATGTTGCTGTACTCCACTCTTGGGAGATGCAGCTGGCAGGCAGCAATTCCCTGGTGGACATTTCTAAGAAATTCAACATTCTCTCCCCTACTACCCGCCCTAGGTTCCTCCCTCCACATCACTTTCCAGGCCACTGGTCATGGGTCAACAGCAGCTCTAACTGTCTTCCAGTCCCTGCCCAGAGACCCATTATGGTAGTGGTGAGACTCTCCTCCGGGGTGGGTGAGATATGTGGATTGTTATTATAACTCAGGTGAGCTCAGAGATCTCTCTTGGTGTTGGTACCACTCAGCACGAGGGCCACTCACAGGACCCAATAATTAGATTTTTTAGTCCGGCCAGTGTGGCTCAGTGGTTGAGCATCAACCCATACACCAAGAGGTCGCTGGTTCCATTCCTGGCCAGGACACATGCCCAGGTTGTGGGCCTGTTCCCCAGTGGGGAGCATGCAGGAGGCAGTCAATCGATGTTCTCTCTCATCAATGTTTCTATCTCTCTCTCCCTCTCACTTCCTCTCTCTCTAAAATTAATAAAAGAATAAATAAATAAAAAACATTTAAACAAGCCTGGGGTATCCCTGGGAGGCAACTTCCACTGAAGCTTGATATTTGGAAGAGGAGCAGCTTTTGGTGTCAACATCCTCTAGGTCTCAGGACCCTCCAGGTCCAGGCTCTGGGTCTCCACAGCCACCCATGGATGGGGTGGGCACAGGAGAGACCCCCTTACCATCGACACTCTTGGAAGGCTTCTGCTGGCGATGACCGTGTGGCAGCCATGCCTGCAAAGCCAGAGGGCAGAAGTGAGGGTGGAAAGTTGCAAGGGACACACCCAGGTGGGCTCCTGCCCAGAGCTCTAAGCAGAGTCCCCTTCCCCTAAGTGTCTCTCAGGCTGAAGTACCAGCCCAGGGCTGAAGGTTCAGCTGGCAGAGGACACAGGGGTCTGAGAAGGGCTGAGCCACTGTGGTGGGACTGCAGGTAGGTGCCATCAGTCCCACCCCCAGGGTTTCTGGGCTAGCTTCTTGGCACCAGAATATGGTCCCTGCTCCAAACACCATGTGCTCAACACCAAAGCAGCTGTAAGCATCAAATGGGGGCCCAGGCATCTGCATGGGGCCTGCAGAATCCCTCTGGCATAGCCCCACATACCCCTGCCCTCTTTCCCTGTGATGTTGTAGAGAAGGACAGAGAGCCCATTCTAAGGTCAGGGGACCTGCCCTGCCAGACCACCTGTCAAACTCAGCCTCACAGTTGTGATAGTAACAATAGCAGCTATTAGCTGCTAAACAGGTTCAACCTACAGTGTCCTCAAAATGACCCTGACCAGCTAGCCACACTCTACTCAGAGAAGCAACATGCCCAAAGCCACCAACTGGAAAAACAAGTTCACCTAGAATGAATGAATCCCAAAATCTTGTCCAGAGGGACTTACCTCTCTGGTACAAAAAACAGGGATCCAGGAGAAACTGGGGAGGGACCCTAGGATATCAAGAGGTTCCCTCTCCCAATTCCAGCCTAACACTGGGCCTCTCCCAGGTGGGGGTGACAAGTTGCTGACCTAGGCTGGAGGCCACAGAATTTGTGTCTCAAAAGACACTGCTCTGCGGTCCGGAGAGACCCGGGTTCAGTTCCCACTAAGGGCACGTACCTTGGTTGCAGTTTGTCCCCGGCCCTGGTTGGGTCATGTGGGTGGCGACCACTTGATGTGTCCCTTTCACGTCAATGTTTCTCTGTCTCTCTCTCCCTCCCACTCTATCTGAACAAAATATCAAAGAATGTCCTCAGGTGAGGATTAAAAAAAAAAAAGACACTGTTCTGCATACAACTGGGGCCTCCATGAGCCTGGCTGAGTGAGGCCCCAGGAGGTTCTGCAATAGTTACCTCAACCCTCTTTGTATAAATGAGGGTGCTGTGACCAGAGCCACACAGTGTCCACTAACCTCTAGGAGGGGACCCTGGAGTCCTGCCTCCCCTAAGACAGCACTTAACCCCTTTCAATGGCTCATTGCCTAGAGGGGTTCCCACACCCACCAGCATCTTGCCCAGGAATCCCAGGATCCAGCAGGGAGGTGTGAGAGTCACTCATGGGGGTGGAGGGTGGGGTGACAGGCACAGAGCAAACAGAACAGTGCTCACCGCATGAAAATCTCCGCAATCCGGAAGCCGATCCCAGACCCACCACCTGTGATGAAGGCAACTTTGTCCCTGGGGAAAGAAAACACGAGGTTCTTTAGAGATACCCCTGTTAACTGGGGGAAGGCTGTGGCTCTGGGGACTTTGACCCTTTGAACTGGGCACTTCTATCAAATTTAGACTGTTGACAACATGCATGATTTTTGTTAAGAAAATATAATACTAGCTCAGCTGGTGTGGCTCAGTGGTTGAGCATTGGCCCATGCACCAAGAAGTTGAAGGTTCTTCCCAGCCAAGGTACATGCCAGGGTTGTGGACTTGATCCCCAGTGCAGGGCATGCAGGAGGAGACCAATTGATGTATCTCTCTCATTGATATTTCTCTTTCTCTCCTTCTCCCTTCCTCTCTCTCTAAAAATCAATTAAAATATTTTTTAAAAAATAATAAAAGCCCAGTTGGTGTGGTTCAGTGGTTGAGCATTGACCTATGCACCAAGAGGTGGAAGGTTCCATTCCAGGTCAGGGCATATGCCCAGGTTGTGGGCCAAATCTCCAGTGGGGGGCATGCAGGAGGCCGCCAATTGATGTCCTCTCTCATCGATGTTTCTATCTCTCTCTCCCTCTCCTTCCTCTCTCTAAAATCAATAAAGAAAAAAAAATTTTAATATAAATAAATAACACATTATAAAAATAATAATAAAATAAATCACTAAAACCTGCAGTCCTAGGTTTCTGGGTCTTTGGGAAATCCAATTTTAGCCTATTCATAAAGTTGTCAATCAAGTGAATAATATTTTCAAAACACAAAGCCGTCCTCCGCCTGCCCCTCACTCCCACTCTCCCAGGATTACTATTAGCAATACCCACCAGCAGTGGCCAAAACAAACAGAACGTTCTCTCAACAGGGCAAAGATCCAAGTACTGGGGCATTAGGACGCCCCAAACGTTCTCTCAACAGGGCAAAGATCCAAGTACTGGGGCATTAGGACGTCCAAACCCCAGGTCCCGCTCCCCAGGCGCCTCCGGGCCTGGGCCCCGTTCCTGACCCCGCTACCCATGAAGTCCTGAAGGCAGGCCCGGACTAGGCCCTCACCGGAGCAGGTCGGGGCAAAAGAGATGTTGGTACTCAGGAAGACAGTCGTCCTCACTGACATCGGGCGGCGGCTGGGTCATGGCGCTCGGTACAGACTTGCGGCTGCGAGGACAGCAAGGACCTGCTTCGTATTAGAGCACCAGTTTCTGCTACAAGCGGCGCTCCGCAACGTCACCTCTGAGCACCACTGGAGTCCAGGAGTACGGGCGCCCCGCCTACCGCCGCCACGCCTCCCACGGCGGACCTCGCTCCTCCCAGAACCTCCGCCCACCCCGCTAGCCCCACCCACAGATGCCTGCTGGCTTCTTCCAGGACACTGTGGCCACAGGCCTGCTGAGACTGGAGCTGGCTGGTCTGTCCCAGAACCAGCTAGCGCAAGTGCAGTGCTGCAGGCGGATTTCTGTGGCTGAGGCCAGGTGAGTGGGCCTCCAAACTGTCCATAAGACTAAGTCCTTTCCACAAGATTGGGTGTCAGTACTGTGGTTGGAGACAGCAGACACTCAGTTAAGATCAGGCTGGCCCAGCTGTGAATTTAAAACCTGGTCCAGCCAGTGTGGCTCCGTGGTTAAGCACCAACCCATGCACCAGGAGATTGCCAGTTCCAATGAAGTACCTGTCCCTCTGAGCCAGGTTTCTCTGGGATTCTCCTCAGCAAGGGCCGAGACAGGTGAGAAGCAGGCTCTGGCTTCACCATGGGGCCCCATGCCTCAGTAAGGCCCTGGGCACGCAGGACCAGCCGCCAGCCCACACATCGTGTAGCTGACTCTGCCCTCTGAGCCCTGAGATGGTGGGAGCCTGGGAATCCACCCCAGCAGGTCCCAGAGGTGTCTAGAGCAGCTGCCCCAGAGCCTGGCGGGCCCTGAAATCACCTGAGCAAGAGTCACTAGGAACCTGGTCCTGCTGGCCAGGTGCCCTGATCACTGGGCCTCTGTCTCCTCATCTACAACCTCTGTGGTACATAAGGCTCACAATGGTAATGAGCCTTAAGCAAGAATTGATGCAGCCTAGCCAGTGTGGCTAAGTGGTTGAGCTTCAACCCAGGCACCTAGAGGGTCACCAGTGCGATTCCCAGTCAGGGCACATGCCCAGGTTGTGGGCCTGATCCCCAGTGGGGGGCATGCAGGAGGCGGCCAATCCATGTTCTCTTTCATCCATGTTTCTCTCTCTCCCTTCTTCTAAGATCAATAAAGAGCCCTGGCCAGTTTGGCTCAGCGGTTGAGCGTCGGCCTGTAGACCAGAGAGTCCCGGGTTCGGTTCCCGCTAGGGGCGGGGCACGTACCACACACAAAAAAAAACCAATAAGAAAAAAATAATTGATGCAAAGTGTCTGCTGGTCCTGGGCTGCTGGGGGGCAATCAGTGAGGGTCTCAGTCTTGGTTTGGGGTTGTGGGGGTGGTCAGTGACAGCCACAAGGGAGGACTGCTCCTCTGTAGGATGCCTCAGCTGAAGTGGGGAGGGAGAGTGGGGTCCTAGAAGCTTGGGTCTGTTCCCTGCCCTGAAGGCTCAGCTGAGAAACCTGGCAGGTAGGACTGGAAAGACACTACTAAGGGTAATCAGGGTGTTTCTGTGAAAGTAAGGAGGGCTCCACCCTGAGGGCTCAAAGAGTCAAGACTCACTTGAAACAATGAGACGCTGAGTTGTATGGCCCTCACATCCTACATCCCACAGGTAAGTATCCCGGCCCTGTTCTACCCCAGGAGCCTAGGGGTGGAGGTGGTGGCCGAGGACAGTTGGACCCCAGCAGCTCCACAAAGGGGGCAGCCAGCATTCCCAAGGCAAGTCTCGCTGCTGTGGGAGGAGTGGGTTCTTTTTGGGTTTTAGATTAAGTTTGGGTTTTTTTGGGGGGGGGTTGGGAGCACCTGCCCGTAGTGGGAACCGAACCCGGGACTCTCTGGTCTGCAGGCTAACGCTCAACCGCTGAGCCAAACTGGCCAGGGCTAAGTTTGGGTTCTTTTTTACCCCACTATAAAAATAACATGGAAGCACTTAACTCAGTCTGTTGCGATCTTGCTTCCAGGTATATCCTATTTGGTTCAAATATATTTTTATAAAAAAAAAAAGAAGAGGTCACCAGTTCGATTCCTGATCAGGGCACATACCCAGGTTGTGGGCCCCCAAGTGGGGGTCATGCAGGAAGGCGGCCAATTGTTCTCTCTAATCAATGTTTCTATCTCTCTCCCTTTCCCTCTCCCTCTCTCAAATCAATTAAGAAAAATATATATTTATTTAAAAATAAATAAATAAAAATAAAAAATAAAACCTGACAAGTTTAACTCAGCAGTTAGAGTGTCTGCCTATGGACCAAAGGGTTGCAGGTTCGGTTCCTAGTCAAGGGCATGTACCTGGATTGCAGGTTTGGTGTGGGAGGCAACCGATCAATGTGTCTCTCTCACATCAATGTTTCTCTCTCTCTCTCCCTCCCACTCCATCTAAAAATCATTGGAAAAATAGCCAGGGCCGGTTGCTAAGTGGTTAGAGCGTTGTCCTCCAGTCCAGAGAGACCCGAGTTCGGTTCCTGCTGGGGGCATGTACCTCGGTTGCAGTTTGTCCCCAGCCCTGGTTGGTCATGCAGGTGGCAGCCACTCGATGTGCCCCTTTCGCATCAGTGTTTCTCTCTCTTTCCCTCCCACTCTGTCTGGACAAAAAAATGGAAAAATATCCTCGGGTGAGGATTTAAAAAAAAACAAAATCAATGGAAAAATATCTGGTGAAGATCAACAACAAAAAACCCAGCCCTGGCCAGTTTGACTCAGTGGCCAGAGCATCAGCCCACAGACTGAAGGGTCTCAGGTTCTATTCCGGTCAAGGGCATGTGCCTGCATTGCAGGTTTCCATGGCCATGACCAGGGCTGTGTAGGAGGCAATCAACTGATGTCTCTCTCAACATCGATGTTTCTCTATCTCCCTTCCACTCTCGAAAAAATTTTTTTAAAAAATGCCCGGTTGGGAGGTGCTCAGCATTTAAATGTCCTCACCTCCCAGACATCCCTCCTGTTACATAAATATCAGAAAGAATAGGAGGAGGAAAGGAGACTCCAGCCCAGGAAAGCCATAGAAAATGAGAAAGGCCTTTGCCTCACTTGTCCAGCCCAGTGCCAGTCCCCAAAACGACCCATTTGGAGAGTGCTAAATGTCATGGCAAGGACCAGGGCATCATCAAGAAGGTGCAAAAAAAAAAAATCGAAGACCAAGTCAGCCTTAGCAAGTGTAATGATGTGCAGTGTCCAATACCTGCCACAAGTGAGTAGGGACACCTGGAGACTAGGGATGAGGGGTGAGATGTAGTGTCAACATGACAAAAAGTGGACACCAGGCTTTCTGCCCTGAGGGTAGTCTCAGCCACTACCTCTCCAGCTACCCCTTCCTGCCACCCTCCAGTCCTGCCCAAGGTAGGAAACTCCTCCTTCAGCAGAATCAGACTGAGTGGAGGCTGGTACAGCACCAGCTTCAGGGTCCAGCTTGGATTCCTACAAATTTCAGACTGGAGGTCTCTGGACCTCTGCCTGAGTCACACATTCAACAGTTATAGATCTGCTAGTGGTATATGAGATGGTAAACTTCATCTTTACTCTCAAACTTCTTACAACCTTGTATAAAGGTCTCATTAGTACTTAGACGCCATAATGAGTGCTCCACCCCCATGCACAGCACAATAAATTTTAATGTCTCCCCTTTGGGGAGGGGAGGTTCAACTACCCACTTCTGGAGACACCCCAAAGGTGGTCTGGCATTTTGGTACAGAAAGGATTAGGTCCAATTTCTTGCTTGGTTAGGATACCAAAAGGCACATAAAGTTGGCTCAACTGCTCCGGGCTGAGGCAGAATGTGAACAGGGAGTTGGTCTGGAACAGATGGACAGAGCACAGGGTTGGACTCAAGTTCTTGTCGACAGAGGTATTTGGTCCTGGGTGGATGCTGGAGCCGCCGAGGGCAACCTGAGGCTCAGGCTGGGTACAGGCTGCTGCAGTGGCCTTCATCTGTCCAGTCCACCAGCTCATTGCTCTGGAACCACAGCTGGATCTCCCTCTGGGCCCCCTCCACAGAGTCACTGGCGTGGATGACGTTCCTGTGCCAGGTTAATAGGTAACAGAAGTAAGGCACAGGCTTCAACATGCACCTTGGGTGTCTGCTGATTCCCTACTGTTCAGAGGAGCAAGCTGGGTGATGATGCAGAAGGGAAAGGAAAAATAGGGGAGCTAGAAAACTGGGTTCCAGCCTGACCTCAGCCTCTTACCCACAACCTCGTGGACCAGCCCAGACTGTTACTTGGGAGTCCACCCTCAGGGTATCTGGCAAATTGAGTCAGATATCAGACAATGATGGCAGAGTATACAGGTAACACATAGGGAATGCTTTATCTCCCTGAGACTAGCAAACAATAGGTGTGATGTCCCACATCAAAAGTCTCTTCTGGCTTTACTTTCCCCCAGCAAAACAACGAGCTTATGTCTGCATGTCTGCGTGGGCCAGGGCCCCTGTACCTGCTGATGTGGAAACTGAAGTCTCCTCGAATGGTGCCAGGGGCAGCCTCAGCTGAGTCAGTGTGTCCTATCATGGCCCTTGAGGTGCAGACCACATTGGGGCCTTCCCAGACCTGCAGCACAGAGATAAAGGTCGGGAGAAGTGGGGATCACCAAGGGCTCAGCAGCTCTGGGCTTACTCCAGGGCCCTCCACCCCTTCCACCAGGCCATACCATGGCCACTACAGGGCCAGAGCTCATGTAGCTGATGAGGGCTGGGTAGAAGGGCTTCCTTCGAAGGTCGTGGTAGTGCTCAGCAAGGATGCTCTCTGGCGCCTGAGTGGCGTTGGGGGAAGGAGTGAGAGGAGCCCCTGGAAAAGGAACCCCACTAGGCACTGGGGCAATGACTTTGCAGATAACACCTTCATGAGCTGGTATGCCAACCACGGTAAGTGCAGAACAGATACCACCTCTCCATCCCTCCCTTTCTACTTCCAACAGGACACTCCTCCTGAATCAGGGTTGATATGAAGGGCTGAGCTCCTGAGGTCCATGAGAAGTCCTCCCCCTAGTGCCCTGAGGGACACCCACAGGCAGAGAGCCCTGGTACCTGAAGCATCTTCATCCCCACCAGCTTGAAGCCCCTCCTCTCAAAACGCCGGATCACATCCCCAACAAGCCGCCGCTGCACCCCATCTGGTTTCACAGCCACCAGGGTCCG